ATCCACATTACTCCTTCTCTATGCCTGAATCCTTTGCTTCTTTCTTCAGACTCCACTCATCTCTTTCACTTTCATTCCATCCACTCTAATCTCATAACATCCCCACCATTCACCTTCTCCACTCCTACTCATGAGTTGTTAAACACTCCTAGAGGAAATCACACAACTGTGCTGACCATAAACACTAAAGATTCCTGCTATTTCATCTCAACGAGGTCCTCATTGCAGAAAGCCAATCTGTTTACTCTTTCCTGAGTGAATTATATAGCACTTCTCACAGGAAGTCCATCTAACCCAACATAATTACTTAACTTGAGGTCTAAGAGCTTTTAAAAAGAATATATTTTAGTGACTGTATTTCTTTTTTTTAATGTTTAATTATTAAAATTTTAATTTATGGAATAAAATAAGCATTTCCATAACATAGTATAATAAAAAAGATGATTGCACATGAAACTGCAAATCTATTATGTATAACTTGCTAGTGACTGTATTTCACTATGATGAGTTTCTTTTGTAATCCTATGCATCTTGTTTTGTGCATTTAAAAACATGATTCTGAGAAGGGATCAATTCATGGGCTTTCCCAGACTCATTTGCCAAGGAGGGGTCAGTGACCCAGGAAAGAAGAAGACCTGGCCTAAGTGAATTACTATCTCGCCTGCATTTCTCCATCTCATCCACAAGATGAGCATGAGAGACTTCATTGAAATGCTTTTCTAAAGTCTAGATAAACTCTGTCTACCACATACAATCTGATCTACCATTTTATTAACCTTGTCAAACAGGGGAATAATGTAAGTCTGGAAAGACCTGCTTTTGAAGAAGCCAGGATGACACAGTGAGCACGGCTTACTTTTCAAGATGCTCATCTCCCCTCTCCTTAATAATTCACTGTGGAATTTTTCTGGGAATCAAAGTCAAGTTCACGGGGCTTTCATTTGCAGTCTTAATTCTTTTCTCTTTTGAAAATCAGAATAACATCTGCCTTTCTCCAGTTCTTTCAAGCTTCTCTTGTTCCTTTCTGTCTTTCAAATATCCCTGACAGTGGCTTGCAATCCCATCTGCCAGTTCTTTTAGGATTCAAGGGCAGAGCAACTACGTACTCACTTACTATCTTCCTATTTCTTTGGGCATCAATCCCCCATTAGCCACTTGTTAGGTCTTTCCAGAGCAAAAGACAGTTGGCGTAAGTTAGTCTAAACCTCATTTTCTAGATGGAGAAACTGAGGCCCAGAGCAGGGGAAGGACTTGCTCAAGGTCATATAGTAATGAAGCAGAAGAGCAGACAAGCTAGCTCATAACTGCTAACTCCAAACCTACAGTTTGGTGGTTTCCCCCCAAATATTTTTCTGGAATACAAGAGAAGAGGTAAGAGCAACCAGAGAGGACTTAGAATATCTTTTATTATTAATATATTATGCTACAAAAATATTTTGACAAAATAATATTAATAACATTTTTTTCTCTTCATTACATTCTTTAGGAAATTCTTCACAAAACTTCAAAGGAGGAGTGTGGGGGTGAAAACCCACCCATTTGCTTTGGAAACCATTTCAAACTCATCAGGCAGGAGGTGCTATTGCCCAGGGATGCCCATAGACTGGGAGGGTCAGCAGAGGTTAGGGCACCCCATTGAAAGAGGACAAAGGACAGGTACATTTCTGGGGAACCAGTGTGGAGCCTCTTGAAAACTCCTGAGGCAGCCTCTTCCCAGATCCCTGGAGGCCCAGAAGGCCAGAGAGCCACACATGGCCTCTCCTTAGAATGGGTGACCACCCAGCCTGCCAACAGCAGGGGTAGTGCCCACCCTCAATTGAACTCAGCCAGTGCTTTCCAAGAAGGAATGCTGGTGAGCTGATGGATGGACTGATTTGGTGTTTGGGCCCAGGGAAGTACATTTTGAAGTCTTTGCTAATTTAGAATCTGCTATCTCTCATCCCTACCCCACACCCCAATAATCTTCTGCCAACTCAAAAAAAAAAGCAGAGCACACCCCTGGCTTTGGTTTAAAATACTGACTATTCCTTTCTGCCATGTCAGTTTTGATTTAGTGCTTTGGGAAGGGTGGGAGGAGTAGGTTATTACCCTGCTTTGACAGGTGAAGAAACTGAGGCCCCGAGTGATGAAGTCGGATCCTCGGATTTAGCATATGAGAGGACTTTAGAGGCTGACTTCTTCCTTTACAAAGGTAGGCATTAAGATCCAGAGAAGGGTCAGGTTTTGCCCAGTCAAGTCATGGCAAACTGGAGAGCTAGGAATAGAACCCAGGTCTCACTACTCAATGTTCAGAGCATCTTCGTTTACCCCACATCAACACTATTAACCCAAGGCTACCCAAAAAGCTACTTCTGACAACAGCTGGAGCCTCATTTTCCCCATTTGTAAAATGAGGAAATTGAGATGAAGCATCTCTAAGGCCTCTTAGAACGTTTATTGTTCCATAGTCTAAATCCCTCCTAGCTCTGACTTTCTCTATTCATCTGATCTCTTCTAGCTCTGATGTTCCACAGTCTATGTTCTGACATTGCTGCCAACTCTAAATCCCATAACTCTGTGACAACCAGAAATTCCAAAGATGCAGGACTAGAGGAGGTGCCTCCGACTGACATCTGTCCTGAAAAAGACCAGGTCCTGGCTCCATCCATTCATCATATGCAAGGTCCAGGGATAGACTGTCAATTTGATTAGTTCTGGCATAACAGAGGAGACGAGAAGGGGATAGGGTGGGGCGGGGACCTGAGTCACAAGTCACATCCACACATGGAGCCATCACACATGTTTACATCACATTTCTTGTGGACATGTGTTTGTGATTCCAAGAACTCACCATATATCCTCAAGCTCTTGTCTCAAAGCCAGCTCCTTCTAGCTCTCAGCCACAGATTGGCTGGGAGCTGAAAGCACTTCATCAAAGATGTTCCCAAGGTGCTGATGGAAGCGGGGAGAGAACAGCTCTGAATGGTCCATCCCGTCCCAAAGGGTTTCCCCCAGGGACCGGGGCTATGGACAGACCCCTGCTCACTGATGTGCCAGATATGTCATCAGGAAAAGTTGGCCCTGACCACTGGGAGTCAGCAAGGGTGCAGGGTCCCCAGCTGGAACAGGACATAGGGGAGAGGGGACGTAGGGGACTCGACAGCCATGCTGAGGGGCTGTATGGAAAAGCAGGCAGCCCAGATAGTAAAAGGATTGGAGACCGGGCTGTACAAACATCAATTCAAGGAACTGGGGATATTAAGGCAGAAGAAAACAAGCTATCAGCTGTCAGCTTCAAATACTAAAGGGTCTTGTGTGAAAGACGGATTAGCCTTGTTCAGCTTGGCCCCAGAGGGCAAAACAAGGAGCAGTCAGGGGAAGCTACAGGAAGACACATTTAGATTGGCTCTAAGGAAAATCTTCTCCACCATTACAGCCATTCAACTGTGGAATGGGCCACCTTGGCAAGTAGTGAGTTCCCCGTCACTTCCAGTCTTCAGAAAAAGCTTCATGACCACTTGGCAGGGACGTTGCTAAAAGGATTGTCATTTTTTTTTTTTTTAGTGAGGCAATCGGGGTTAAGTGACTTGCCCAAGGTCACACAGCTAGTATGTGTCAAGTGTTTGGTCTGAGGCCGATTTTGAACTCAGGTCCTCCTGACTTCAGGGCCGGTGCTCTATCCAGTGCGCCACCTAGCTGCCCCTAGGAGGATTGTCATTTAGACATAGACTGGACTAAGCCCCTGAGATCCCTTCCAACTCAAAGACTGTATGTAGACTTTAAAGTGTAAGCCCCTTGAGGGTAGGGACATGTGTGTGTGTCTGTCTGTGAGCACAGGGCAGGAAACACAGTACACACTTAACAATACTTGTTGACTGACTGACAGAAGGCCTCAGAGGGCCAGCATCTTGGAGTAGTCTCATTTGAATGAATGAATAAATAAATAAAGCATTGATTAAGCACTTACTGTGTACAAAGCACTGTGCTAAGACTAGAAATAGAAATAGAAAAGCCAGATGGTCCCTGCTGTCAAAAAGCTCGCCTTCAAATTCACTTTCCCCAGCTGGACGACAGGGTGCTTGAGAGCTGACCTTGTCTTCCATATCTGTTTCCAAAACTAATGGAGAGGAAAGCAGAAAAAGTGAGTCAGGACTTGGCCCCACCCAGGCTTGGGTACAAAGGATTCCTGGAGCCAACCTCTGTTGAGGGTTGGTTTTCGCCAGCACTTTCTTTCCTACAGAACCGAAGCCACACTCACCAGGCCAGCCTCCCCAGAGGCGGCAGCGGGTACGTCAGAGGGAAGTCTGGCCCGTGTGTTTCTAATTCCTTTACACTTATCTCACCAAAATCCTGTTTTGCAAGCTCTGTTTGATGTCCAACAAGCCGTTGCAGCCCTCTTCCTAAGCTCGCTAAGCCCCTTTCTCTCAGAAGTCGGAAGTGTCCTCTTTGCCAAGAAGAAGCTGGCCAGGTTGCAGATTCCACGTTCCATTCCTGGTGCGGGGATGGCAAGGGGCCAGTGGACTCTGGAGAGTGTGGCTGGTTGGTTCTCCCGTGCGTGGCCTTGGCCCTGCAGACTGGAATGAAGCCTGGTGAAGGTGGGCCTGGGGCGGGACCCAGCTCACACAGAGCAGCATCTGGTCCTGAGCTCAGACACAGTTGGGAGATGAGTCCACAGGGAGCCACAGAGGCTTGTCAGCACCATCCCCGGAGCAGCCAGGCCCCAGCTCGGTCACTTCTCGGCCAGATACTCTGCCTGGGGATAGCTTCGTTGGACCCAGAGCTGGAAAGAACTCCAGACCCTCTCCAGGCCAGCCCTCTCATAGAGAGAAAAAAAGAGCCCCAGAGCTACAGCAAGCCATCGGCTCAAGGTCCTACAACTTTTAAGCATCAGTGCCAGAATTTATTTATTTGTTGGTTTGTTTGTTTGTTTATTTTTGGTAAGGCAATTGGGATTAAGTGACTTGCCCAAGGTCACACAGCCAGTACGTGTCGAGTGTTTGGTCTGCCGGATTTGAACTCAGGTCCTCCTGACTTCAGGGCCAGTGCTCTATCCACTGCGCCACCTAGCTGCCCCCGGTGCCATAATTTAGACCCAAGCTCTGGGAGCATGGCGATGTGGAAAGACCGGGGGATTTGGAGTTAGAAAACCTCACTCAAAGCTCAGCTCTGCCATATTATATTTGTGTGACCTTGGACAAATCACTTGCTCTCTCTAGACCTTGATCCCTTCCTCTGTAAAGTGGGGGGTGGAGGATGGGGAGAGAAGTTGAGTGGGGGGAGTAGGGAGTGAACCAAGCAATCTCCAAGGTAGCCTAGAGTTCTAAATATATGATCCTCTGACTCTAAATTCAGTTGTTTCCAGCATTCCTCTTTGCCTCATTACAAAGGATTACTCAGGTTAGGGAAACAGAGATTTTTACAGTCTAATCATCAGTAGTCCCAAAGAGACATGGGCGGCTTTGAGAGGTAGTGAGCTTCCCTTTCCTTCAGTGAGAGGTTGGCTGATTATCCATCAAGGTAACTGTTGCAGGGATTGTTGTTCATGGGGTTACACCGATGGGGTCCCTTCCAGTCTGAGATCCTGAGCTTCTCTGATTCCTGTCTATTGGCATCTTGCCTTACCCCAAAGGCAGCATCCTTGTGTTGCTCCAGAGATCTCTTCCTGAAGCTTGGTCACTGAGACTGAGGTCCAGGATGGTACATGGGGAAGCAGCTTTGACAAGGTCCAGAAACAGGCTTTCACTTCTATTCAAATGAAGCCATTCCTTTTCTTAAGCTTGAGCCCTAAGCAAGGGCCTCCTCCTCCAGGAAGCCTACTCCAAGTGCCCTAGATTTCCCTGAGCTGAGCTTAGCTTGTATAGAAACTCACAGCACTTACTATCTGCTGCAGAACTTAATGTCTTCAAAGGTCACCTGGAGGATTCGCCATGATTTCTTTTGTAGGATGGCTTCTGGCATGTGGATTTTCTCCGTCACCAGACTGGGAGCTCCCAGAAGGCAGGAGCTCAGTTCTCCTATTCGGCACCCAGGCACAGATATAGGCACTGTGAGGACTCAGGAAAGAGCTCCGGTGATTGGCCAACTGATTGACTCAGGGGGCAAGTGTGTCCTTGATGGGCCAGTCATGATAGGAAAGCTGAGTTTGCCACAGAACTCTCATTATAGATCAGGACCCAACACTAGCTTTTCATTGACCCTGATTCTGGCCCTAGACCAAGTCCGACTTCAATTGTAGAGCAAACTTTGACCGAGGTCCCAGGCTAAGCCCTGATCCTGGCCTTAGAATTAGGTCTGCCACAGGCCTGACTGGGGCCTCTGCCCTTACAGAATTCACATCCTAACCCCTGCTTTGTGCCCATCTGGCCTCTCCATCATTTGAGCTCAGGAAGGGATTGGAGAAAGTGAAGGGTATCCTCCGTCTCTCTTCTAAGCCCAGGACCCCTCCATGCCCCTGCCCCCTGCCCTCTGCTTCCATCCATGGATGAGCAGCGTTGCATAGAGACCTGAATCCTCATCTGGACAGAGTAGAAACATTTCAGGTCTGGGAATTCAAAGCCCTGGGTTCCAGCCCTGGCTTGCCTTCCTTACCCTCTCAAGCCTCAGCTGCTTGCCATCTCTAAAGTTTCCTCTGGCTCTAAATTTCAGAGACCTCTATGGTAAGACCACCTTGTCCAGTTGGCCCCAAACCTCAAGAGTTTTTCACCCACTGTGAGACCTGAATAAGTCCCTGCCCCTCCACGGACCTCAGTTTCCCTCTCTGTGAAATAAAGGAATTAGATGTGAAGATTTCTAAATCCTCTGAAAGTCTTTCTTTATGTGATTTTAGGTGAGTTAATTCAAGTTGCTTGGCCTAAGTTTTCCCATCTGTCAAATGGGGACAATATTACTCATTTTCTCTCTTTTCCAGGGCTTCCTTCTGAGATATATTTCTCCTCTTTCTCCTGACCTACGCTCTAGTCTACCTTCTCTTACGTAACCCTGGACAAGACCCTTCCTCTCTCTGAACCTCAATCCCCATCACTAAAAAACAATGGGGCGGTGCTTGATGATCTCAAAGCTTTCTTCTAACTCTGGGGCATCCTTCTTCCTTCATGGCCTCACGGCCACATGAAGGAACACCACTCATCCCATACTTTGGTCAAGTCGCTTGCCTGGGGGTCCCAGGTGAATTCAAAGGTAAATTCAGTGACTGCTCCGGGCTTTCACAGTAGCAGCGTATGCATGAGCAAAAGTCCTCCCAGTGATGGGACAAGGCACCCTCGCCCACCTCACTGAGCCCGAGACCCCCCACCGGGGCAGCTATTTCCCAGGGTTGGGGTTGAGGGGCTTCCCTTCCTAACATTCATCCTCCCAGACCTTGGGTTGAAACCACATGTCATGCCAGAGTCGATCAGCCCAATTCCCACAGAGCGCGGGCAATCACTTCAATCTCATAGTCCCTGGGGGAGGCAAAATACAAAAAGTGACTGCCCTTGCCCAGTCTAAAGCTTGCTCTGGACCCTTAGGGAGGAAGATGTTAAAGTCACAGATAGGAAATATTCATTTAGCTAGGTGGTCGGCAATACAGTTTAATAAGTGTATTATTAACATATACATCATAAAAATAAGTTTATCATAGAATAAATATGCTTTTTTTTAAACACGGACAAATATATTACAAAACAAGCCCCATAGTACTAGGGGAAATTAAGATCCTTCTACAAAAAAGAAGATGTAAGTCAGTATCACGAGAAAGCTTTTAGTGTTTCCCAGAAATGTGTCGAGCCCTCCCCAGGAGGCCAGAATCCTCCTGGGATACTGGGAGATAGCCCCAGGAGCTCTCCAGGGGGCAGAGGAGGATAGCCACACCCTCAGAATCAATTCATAAATTACCACAGTCTCTACTCCAGCTATTGCACCTGGGATCGATGGAAATCAGGACGGCCCCACCATACGCAGGAGGATGGTGCCAGTCGTGATGAGAAGGAAGGAAGTCAGGAGAGAGGCGACTGAGGCTGAGCTTCTGGAGGGCCCTGGGGGTTCCGGTGGGGCTGGTGGTGGCCGATGTTCCAGCTGTTTGGCAAACCTAGTGGAAGGCTTGGCAGTGTCATAGCCGTTAGTAGCCTTGGATGGGGAAGGTGCTGTGGTTGTACTAGAAGGAAAAAGAAATACATGCCATCAGCTCTGTCAGGGGCTGCCTGGCCTGGCCAGGGTGCTCATCTCTGTAGAAGAAGCTCCCTCCCATCCCTCCCTGTCCAAGACCTTGGAAGGTTCCATAACCACTAGCAGTCAATGCTGGTGGCACAGGGTTGGGGGTAGGGGATGGGGAAGGTACTCTGTGCTGCAGATGGCAAGAGAGGCATAGGAAAGAATGCATTTATTCATTCTACCATCACCAATACTGATAGTAGTAACAGAAGTCACGTATGCATACACACAGACACTATATATATATAGTACTTGAAAGCTTGCCAAACCCTTTCCACATGTCATCTGATTTGACCCTTACAATAACTTTGAAAGGGAAGTGTTATTCTATTACTCATGCTACTACTGCAGACCAAAACAGAGAAGTTATGTGATGTGCAAGGACTAGGGGATCAGTAGGGAGGAAGCTTGTGACTCCAAGTCTGGGGATCCTTGCACAATGACCTTGTTGTGTGGTTAGTTGGATGAATGATTCACGATTGTGATAGGATGGTATAACATCCACATATTGAGTGAGAAAAACAGGCTCAGAGGCATGACATGGCTTCCACATAGTTATACAGCTAATCTCTCATGATCTTGGGTCTATCAGGCTTTTCACTGTATTTTGCTTCTAATACAACCAACCATGCAACTAATGAAACAACTATTCAAATGATTTCCCAACCACCCATCCAGTGAACCATATAACCAAATAGTCCTCATCAAATCAACCATAAAACCACACAAGCAAATATACATCCAACAACCCATCCACCCGTCCATGAATCCATTCGTTCATCTGTCCATTCATCCAACTAACCAACCAAACACCTGACCACTAAGAAACTAGCCAAAAAACTACCCACCTAAACAACCAACCAAAAAAAAACAAAAACATCCAATCAATCAACTGGTCAACTAACTGGGGATATAACCAAGAATCCTATCTAACCAACCAACTATCAACCAACCATCCTACCAAATAAGAGATCAACTATCTCATGAACCAACCAGCCAATATGTCATCCATCCAGTCAACCAGTCAACTAACCATTTATCCAACCAATACTCCATCCAACCAACTAACTATATACAACTACCCTAACAACCTATCCATCCAACTAACCAATCAACCAACTCATGATATTGTGCAAAGAGTTCTGAATGTGGAGTCAGAAGGCTTGAATTCAAATCTTCATTCTGCCACTTGTTAGTGATATGACCTTGGGAAAGTTATGTAACCTCTATGTTTGCATTTACATCTAATTTATTAACCAGGAATAATACTATTTTCTTTTGTTCCCTAGTCACAGGATTGTTAAGGGGGTCATATGAGTCAATATATGTAAAATACATTGAAATCATAAGAGACTGCACATATATGAATAATTACAATTCAGATGTTGCCAAATATGAAGATATACAAAGCAGAGAAGGTCCCTGCTCTCTGGAGGTTGAGAATAATCAGAAATCCTATGAGCCAACAGCACTTCAGGCAGTTATAAAATTACCCCTTGGGCAGTAAAGGGGATACAAGATGGCCATCCTCCTCTAATACCCAAAGCACTGTCACATCAACAGAAAATACAGTTTAGTGGAAAGAAGTCATAGAATTCAGAACTAGAAGGGACTTAGGGTTTACCTAATCTATCCCTCTCAATAAATGCTTATTGAGAGAAATACCTGGCACGTGGTTGATGCTAGATAAATGCTTGTTGGTTGATTGAGTTACATATGAAGAAACTAAAGCTCAAAAAAGGAGATGCTTAACACCACACAGAAAGTACAAATGAGAATTTGGATTCAAAGCCAGGTGGTCACATGACAGTTATTTATTATGCACTTAACATATGTCAGGCACTGTTCTAAGCACTGGAGATATACAGAAAGTCATATTCTAATGGGTGAGGTATGGGATTTTTTTTGGGGGGGGGGAACAGAACATATAAATAACTAGGTACAAACAAACTATGTAAAGAGTACAGCTCCATATCTCTGCACAGAGTGCCTGGAGTGCCTTCCCTCCTAATCTCCAGCTTCTAGTTTCACTAGGAGTTCAAATCCCACCTTCTGCAGGAGGCTTTTCCTGGTCTCCTCCATTCCCCAAGCCACCTCCCCCAAATCCTTTAACAGTTGAGTGGAGGATGGATTAAAGTGAGGGAATGGGTGAGGCAGGAAGACCAATTAGAAGGCTATCGTAATAGCCCAGGCAAGAGGTGATGAGAACCCACAATATGGCAGCTGTCTTATGAGTTGAGAAAAGAAGATACATATGAGAGATGGTGTCAAGTTAGAAGCAAGATTTGGTAACCACAGGGCCATTGAGGGTAACTAAAAGTGAGGAAATTAAGATAGTGAGGTGAGTAGGGGACTGAGAGGAAGATGGTGGTGACCTTGATGGTGATAGGAAAATTGGAAGAAAGGATGGTTTCAGGGAAAAGATAATGTGTCCTCTTTTAGACACCATGAGTTTGAAATGGTTAAAGGACATTGAATCGGAGATATCCAAAAGGTGATGAGGTCTGTAGCTTAGGAGAAAGACTAGGGTTGGATCTATGGATCTAGGGTGGTCACTGTCCTATAACCCTAGTTTCCTTCAAAGCATGAGCCATTCAATGCTGATAGCTCTAGGATTGTTTTCATTTGAGGCAGCATGGAAAAGTGAAAAATACATTGTCTTTGGAGTCATGAGACCTGGGTTTGAATCCTATTTATGTCACTTGTATGATCTTAGGCAAATCCCCCCTGGGCCTCAGTTCTCTCCTCTGTAAAATGAGAGGGTTGAGATAGATGATCTCTTTTTGTTTACATGTATTTATTATTTTATTTTATTTTTCCCACTTAATAGTATATTATTTTTCTAATTACATGTAAAGACAGTTTTCAACATTCACTTTTATGAGATTTTGAGTTCCGAATTTTTCTCCCTCCCTCCTCTTCTCCCCCCTCAAGACAGCAAACAACCTGATAGAGGTTATACACATACAATCATATTAAATGCATTTCCTCATTAGTCATGTTGTGAAAGAAGAATCAGAAGATAAGAGAAAAACCATGAGAAAAAAAAAACAAAAAAAGTGAAAATAGTATGCTTCAATCTGCATTCACACACCATGGCTCTTTCTCTGGATATGGATAGCATTTTCCATCATGAATCTTTTGGGGTTATCTTAGATACTTGCATACTGAGAAAAGCTAAGTTTATCAACGTTAGTCATCACACAATGCTGCTGCTACTGTGTACAACGTTCTCCTAGTTCTGCTCACTTCACTCAGCATCAGTCCATACAAGTCTCTCCAGGTTTTTCTCAAGTCTGCCTGCTCATCATTTCTTATAGCACAATAGTATTCCATTACATTCATATATCACAACTTGTTCAGTCATTTTCCCAATTGATGGGCATCTCCTTAATTTCCAATTCTTTGCCACCACAAAAAGAGCTACTATAGGCAGACTTCAGAAAAACCTGCAAAGACTTGTATGGACTGATGCTGAGTGAAGTGAGTAGAACCAGGAGAACATTATACACAGTAACAGCCACAATGTGTGATGAATAACTTTGATAGACTTAGCTTTTCTCAGTATGCAAGGATCTAAGATAACCCCAAAAGGTTCATGATGGAAAACGCTGTCCACATCCAGAAGAACTATGGAGTCTGAATGCAGATCTAAGTACATTATTTGATATCTCTTTTTTTTTTCTTTTTTGTTTGTTTTTTCTCATGGTTTCTCACATTGGTTCTAATTCTTCTTTACAACATGACTAATGTGAAAATAGGTTCAATATGAATGTATATGTAGAGCCTATATCAGATTGCACACTGTCTTGGGGTGGGGGGAAAACAGAGATGGGGAGAAAATTTGGAACTCAAAATCTTATGGAAGTGAATGTTGAAAACTAAAAATAAATAAATATTTTTTTTAAAAAAAAGAGCTGCTATAAATATGTTTGTACATGTGGGTCCTTTTCCCTTTTTAATGATCTCCTTGGGATACAGACCTAGCAATAATATTGTTGAATCAAAAGGTATGCACATTTTTGTAGCCCTTTTGGCATAGTTCCAAATTGTTCTACAGAATGGTTGGATCAGTTTACAACTCCACCAACAATGCATTAGTGTTCCAATTTTCCCAAATCTTCTCCAATATTTATCATTTTCCTTTTCTGTCATATTAGCCAATCTGAGAGGTGTGAGGTGATAACGTCAATTATTTTAATTTTCATTTCTCTAATCAATAGTGATTTAGAGCATTTTTATATAACTATAGATAGTCTATAGCTTTAATTTCTTCATCTGAAAAGTGTCTGTTCACATCTTTTGACCATTTATCAATTGGGGAATGACTTGTATTCTTATAAAATTGATTCAGCTCTCAATATATTTTAGAAATGAGGTCTTTATCAGAAACACTGGCTATGAAAATTGTTTCCCAGCTTTTTGCTTTCCTTCTAATCTTGGTTGCATTGGCTTTGTGCAAAAAAAAAAAAAAAACAAAAAACAAACTTTTAAATTTAATTTAAAACTTTTTAATTTAATTTTCCCAGTTTTTCCAGCAGTTTTTATTAAATAGTAAGTTCTTATCCCAGAAGCTGGAGTCTTTGGGTTTATCAAAGAATAATTACTATAGTCATTTACTACTGTCTTGTGTACTTAACCTTTTTCACTGATCCACCACTCTATTTCTTAGCCATACCAAATAGTTTTGGTGATTGCTGCTCTATAATATAGTTTCAGATCTGGTACAGCTAGGCCACCTTCCTTTGAATTTTTTCATTAATTCCCTTGATATCCTTGACCTTTTGTTCTTCCAGATGAATTTTGTTATTATTTTTCTAGCTCTATAAAATAATTTTTGGTAGTTTGATTGGTATGGAACTGAATAAGCAAATTAGATAGAATCATCATTTTTATTATATTAGCTTGACCTACCTATGAGCAAATGATGTTTTTTCCAGTTGT